TGCACTAATTAAAATTTGGTAATAAAATCTATCATACTTGATTGGTTCTATTTTACAGCATAACCTTCCTCTCACTGGCGATGGGACATTTATAGCTGCCATTGAACAGAATTTGATAGTTTTTCACTTTTTTGTCTACATTTTGTCATGTGTGGAGACTTCATCAAACTTCTGAGACAATGTGACTCAAAGTTTTGTCCTTCAGCTGACACAGAAAGAATTTGTATCATTTTTCATTGGATCTTATCTCCAGATGTACAGCATATTCCTAAGGCCTCAGGGGAGACAAAACTTCATGGATACTGTTGATCAGAATACTTCAGTTTGGAATGCAGGTTCCTTTTTTTTACAAGTACCACTCTTTGGATAATTTCTTTTAATATCTCTGCAATATTACTGAAGGCTTAAGCACTACTGCAACTTTAATATTTACAATACATGCAGGCTCAGGTTGTTTGCTGATCTCCGTCAACTCCCACTTCTTGTATAGGCGTAACTCCCGCTCCGTCTCCCACTTTTATCTGGTCCCTTTACCTGTACATGTTTACTAGTACATGAATTTTAGTCAAATTGTGAATTACTGCATAATTATGAATTCGTGACCAGTGCCATTGAGCATTTAGCATAATGATCCTATTATATATTTATTTATTTATTCATTCATCTATTTAACATGTTGACAGAATGTGATGGTGAATTATTATCAGTTAGTAGTATATTTATACTTTATTGTTCTCATCTCTCTCCTCCTATCCTTTCTTTCATTTTCTCTCTCGTAGGAGCTGGTAGCTTTAAAAGACTCTCATGTATTTAATGTAAGTAATGTAATGTAATGCTCTGAAATCACACCAAATTTTTATTACATTTTCTGATACATATTGATGTCCTTGTGCTGTGTAGAAAGTTTGAGCTGATTCCGACTTCAATTTTTCAAGTTACGGCCATTTCAAGAAATTGCCGCAATATCAAATGCTATAGCCCATGGTTTTTTCAAAAAATGGCTCCGAAATTAACCCAATTTTTTATTACATTTCTGATACATATTGATGTCATTGTGCTGTGTAGAAAGTTTAAGCTGATTCCAGCTTCAATTTTTCAAGTTATGGCCATTTTAAGAAATTGCCGCAATTTCAAATGCTATAGCCCATGGTTTTTTCAAAAAATGGCTCTGAAATTAACCCAATTTTTAATTACATTTTCTGATACATATTGATGTCCCTATGCTGTGTAAAAAGTTTGAGCTGATTCCGGCTTCAATTTTTCAAGTTACGGCCATTTTATGAAATTATCGAGATTCTGAAAAATACCCAAGGCTATAGCCATTAATTTTTTCAGAAAAATGGCTTTAAAATTACCCAAAATTTTATTATATCCTTATGCTATGTAAAAAGTTTGTCCTGATTCTGATTAAATTTTTGAGTTACATGTACATGTATGACCAAAATCAAAAGTACATGTAAATATACATACCGTATAGCTTGATATTTTCGTGGTTTGCTCCTAGTGGGGCAATTCGTGGTTTAATTTTCGTGGTTGACAGTTTACATAGCCTGTAAGGGGATGGCACTTCAATGATTTCGTGGGTTTAAATTCGTGGGCAGCCCATAACCACGAAAATCACGAAATTTACATTCCACGAAAATTTCAAGCTATACGGTATGTACATGTACATGTAATTTTTTAATAAAATCCCAAACTTTGGATTTTTCTAAAAATGGCTTTAAAATCATCCTAATTGTTTATTATACATGTATTTTTTTGACAAAGGTTTTATTTTGATGAGTTGATGATTTAAAATAAAATGTCAAATGTTATAACCGTCAAAATTTTTTTGTACTTCGTGCTGCGTGTACGCAAAAGGCACTATTTGTCAAAATTAAAAATTGTAAAAAATCTAATTTTGATCAGAATCAGCTCAAACTTTCTACACAATGTAAGAGCATGTATATGTATCAGGAAAAATTATAAAAGTGAAGAATTCTCTCCTTTTCATTTGAAGTAATAATGACAATTATGACAATTACATGTGTTATTATTATTATTTTTTTTTATTTTTATTAATTACTAGGAGTGGTTATCATTATTCATTAGTGATATTATTAAGTTGATCCTAAGATGAAGAAAGCTGGATTACTAAGACACACAAATTAGCAGCAGAAGCATTGTGGAGAAAAGTAAAGAACATTTATAAATATAATTTAATTATTGTTGTTATGTGTTTCTATGGTAACTGATACATGTACTGTATACTAGTCAAAGGTAAAGGAGGAGAGAGAGAGTGAGAGATGGAGAGGGAGGGAGAGGGAGGGAGGGAGGGAGGGAGAGGGAGGGAGGGAGGAAGATAGAAAGAAAAGTCAAACAGCAAAGGACAATCCCACCATTATTATACAGTGTAGGTCTAGAGGAAATTTTATTCTCCAAATTTGGAATAAAATTGCGATTTCCTGAAATCTCCTATAGCTTTTGGTCACTCATATTTTGCCATGTGTCCTGAAGTCTCCCATTTTAGTTAGTTTAGTCTCCCAAAAATTTTATCTAGATATAATATCAATGGGCTAGTGTTTAATAGTGATAGTACAGTAACTAATGAAAAGTAATTTACTGTATCTCTTATTTATTATTAAGGACAGTGTTTTGATGCTCATATGGATTCTCCTATACCTGGTCTACAGTATGTGATGGGTACTGATACTGATCCTGAACTATATGATACAATAGTAATGGCTAATCTTGTAAGTACATTATACTATACACACAATAGTGTAGCGTATGATTTTCAAACAAATTTAAAAATTCATAAAAAATCCAAATTTGATCAGAATCAGCTTAAACTTGATACTGAGCATAAAAACATGTATATGCATCAGAAAAAAGTATAAAATTGGAGAATTTTCACTTTTTCATTTAAAAAAAATTCCGCCAATGACCGTGTACTATAGTACAGGGATTTTGGCTTAGTTTTGGAGAAACTTTAAAAATTTGTTAAAAATCTAATTTTTGTCGGAATCAGCTCAAACTTTCTACATAACATAAGAACATGTATATGCATCAGATAAAAATATAAAAATGAAGAATTCTTGCCTTTTTATTTTTGACAATAATTGGCCAAATTATCATTTGAAATCCAATTTTGATATTATTTGTTATTGTTAGGGCTATTACCAGCTAAAGGGTAAGCCAGGTGCATGGAAGCTGAGACTAAGAGAAGGAAGATCATCAGAAGTATATCAAATATCAAGGTACAACTGTTTGTACAATATACTAGTTTATAGTAATACTTGTACCAGTAATTGTTATGATCTACAGTACAGTCATTAATAGTATTCCTATTGCCTGTATACAATATATATACAATTATTATTGACAGTTATAATATTGGCAGTTTTATTTTGAACCTCCAATCTGCCAATTTTTCTGGCTATACAGAGTATTTTTATTGTCCTGTATACATGTATGTACATGTACATTGCTACTTATGTGAAGTTCCTTTCTCTCCTTTTCTCTTCTCTCTTTATAATCTCTCAGTTACTATCAGTCCAGAGTTGGTTCAGGTGGTAATGTATCCTCAATACCAGTTACTGTATCCAGTTTTACCGGTAATCACTTAATAGTACGAGTGACAAAGAAGCCAGGGATGGAAAAGGCCAGTCTCCTACTGAGCGAGACCGAGAACCAACAAGCCACACCT